AAGGGAAAACAATGCTGGGATACATTCACCTAAACAGCTCGCTGTCTCCGTGGGCCCCGGGGCCGCGCGGCGCCAAGCGGGGCCGCCGGGGCGCCGGCTTCGGGGCCATGTGGCACCGCGGCATAGCAATGGCAGTTAAGTCTAGAATGTAGGTGCAACAGCGCGGCGGAAACTTAGATTCCAAGTAACCAAATTCCTTCCAAATGATCGTTCCATTCCGTCCAGGTAGGTTCCGAATAATCCTTCCGAGTAACCCACCATGTCCCCTATTTGTCCTCCCCCGTCCCGTCTTCCCCCCCCTCTTCCGTCTCCCCCTCCTTCTCCTCCTCCTCCCCCCCCCCCGCCCGTCGCCCCCCCCCCCCCCCCCCCCTCGTGGAAAACGCGGCGCGAACAAGGGGCGCAACGCCACTAAGGAAACGACGGCTAAGGCAACGACACAGACACACAAGTATTCGTCCTCGTACGTAGCCATTTCCATCGGTTTTAAGTGTCCTCGTGGTCACGACCTACCCGCCAGGAGGTTGCCGACGCTAGCTCGCGGCGCCACCATGAGCAGCAGCGGACCAGTCACGGCGCCGATCACGACCAGCAGCTTCGCAGCCGAATTAAGGCAACCGGCCGTCGAGATCACGGAGGCGACAATGGCGACGCAGGCCCAATAGTTAAAAGTCAGCAAGGCCATCGCCCACACACACACACACCAAGCACATCACGCTCGGCCCCTGCAGCGCAGAGGAGCAGAGGACGGCCAACATGCCCACCCCCAGTACAACGACTCGAGGATCGACCTTGTCACGATGGAGCTGCAGAAGATCAAAGGCTCCTGCTCGACACTTTCCCCAGCGGCGTGAAGATGGACAGCGCGGAGGAGGCCGAATCAAAGTGGGACTCGCTCTGCAAGCTCGCGCATCTCACCATGCAGTTCGAAAAGCAGCTCGCGATAACCTCCGAGCGCGTCGGCTGGGAGCAGAACGACTCTTCAGCCGCAGAGCCCCCGCGGGATGCCAACGACGAGGCCACGAGGCACCAGTGCGGTTGGCAATCGACGGGCCCATCGAAGAGGATCTCGCCGACGGTCTGGAATGCGGTCGACGTCAATGATCCGTCCGACCGCACGGCGGGCCCACTTCGGCTGGAAGAGATACCACGACGACGACGCTGACGATCCGATTCAAGTGTTTGAGATCATCGAGCGCGCCGATGTCGATGAAACCAAGTGAGCTGTCCACACTTTCACTTGCTATTTTTTTCGCCAGCGCAGCGCGCCCCCGCGCTGCCCGGCGCGCCGGCGGCAGACAGGGCGCGAGCCCGAGGCGCCGGAACGCCGAGCCCGAGGCGCAACTAGCCGCTCTGGCCGTTTAGGGAATGGAGAGAGTTGGGGGGGTTCTCTGAGGCCACTGCAGCGGCCTCCTGCAGCATTCTCGCAAGGCAAAGTGCCCTTGCCGACGGGGCAGCGCTCGAGCCACCAAGACGGGCCAGGAAACCTCCAGGCACGCGCACGCAAGGGGTTTGTATACATATCGCCTCATCCTCGTCCTCCTTCCTCGTCCTTCTCGAACTCCTACTCCTCCTAGGGATTATCTCGATCCTCCTCCTCCTCCCTCCCCCTGCGCCTCCTCCCCCCCCTCCTCCTCCCCCATCCCCCCCGATGCTTTTGCTGGCCCAAGCCCTCGGCGCGGCGCGCGGCAACTTATGCCCGCGCGCGCGGGCCGACAACATATGTCACCGTGCACTTTCAATTCGAAAACCCGCGGGCGCCGACCCGCAACTCGTCGCGGAACAATCGACGCACCGCGAGTTGTACAGATGAGGTCCCGTATGTGTGCCCAGTGTCGCCGGCAAGTCAAAACTGCAATGCCCCTGCACTTTTGCGCGCGCATGACGCGCTGTGGAAAATTTGTGTCTTCTAAAACCTCCATTGAGCATGCCCCCCAAACTGAACCTTCTAAAACTAACATAAATGACGTTCCCAAATGTTATTCCTTTCAGACCTCTGGGAAGCCTGCCACAAAGGGAGGCCCCCCTTTCATCAGCTTCGAGTGCGAAGCGCGTTCCAGGCCCCTGGGCCCCAGGCGCAGCCTCGTGCAACAGCTTCTTGCAGGGGCTCGGGGCCACCTGAGTGCATGAGATCGCCCCACCACGGTCGTCAACGAACGCTACATGATCACTCATATCCCATCCAATTCATTTTCGAGCTCATGAAAAAATGGCACCCATGGGCCCCGAGACCGATCTCCAAGAAACACGCTGCTGCCTGCTCCGGAAAACAGCCGCCCAAGATTATCTGACGATGGCCCAGTCCAAGGTCCCGGGAAAGCATGCAAACACAACATCCAGATTTCCTTGCAATACCGAAGGACAAGGGCAACCGCGGCACGCCGAGTCGGGTCGGCCTCCAGCAGCGACGCTGCAGCGAGGGAACGGCGAGCGGCACTGGGCTTGATCGCGGACGCGGCCTGTCGTCTCAATGATAGCGCCCCCCCGTCCGCGACGCCCTGCGCCCCCCACCCGCGCGCGATGCCGGGCATCGGGCCCGAGCAAAAAAACGCAAACAACTCCCCATCCAATGTGAACCTTCAAACGGTGCCCGCGCCGGATTTTCCTCTTGAGCCCCTCCATCCCCGCCATTCCCCTAGACGTCCTTCCCTCGCCACAACGAAAGGGGCGGCCGGCAGCGTCGTCGCATCCGAGATTGACGGCTGAGTCCTGCGCGCGCCCGAACAGCCCCGAACGAGCCTCTATTTCCTCGCCCAAAACAGGGCACGAGCATATGCGAGCGACACTTTGCCCAGAGCCACCGCGCCGCCAAGCTCAATCGCACGCATCGAACAGGAGGCCAGATCGGCAATCGCATTCACAACTGCACTCTTCTTACCTATAGCAAGGATGCACGCATCGTCGATATTGGCGTCCAAGGAGGGAAACTCCCCCGTGTCCCGATCGATCCTGGAAAGGCTCATCGTCCTGGGAACCGAGTCGAGGGCATCCAACGCGTGGGCCACAATCATCGAGGTCGCCATACTGCACCCCGCTATTATACCATACATCGCCCCCATGGCCTGGGAGCACATGCCACGTAAGCACATGTAGCGGGCAGATCGGCAGGCCGCCAAGCAGAGATCCAAGACGACCAGGGGGACGGCGTACTTGATCATCCTCTCCTCCAAGGCCTCCAACCCTATCGGTTCGTAGTACTTAAACATGTCCCACAACACTGAAGCCGAATAGGCTCCTTTCCTAACCCCAGCTTCCGACCTGAAAGACTGCCTCTAAACGCAGTCCAGGGCCCCTTGGGTTGTTCCCCGCAACCCAGAAGCCCCGGGAATGCGCAGCTTCTCAGGCCGTCGCAAGGGGCCTCCGAGCTCGCCCCCAGAGGCGATGCGCCGAGGGAAAGATCCCAATGGGGCGGTATCCCCATTTTTCCTCCGCCAAGAGGGCGATGATCACAGCCGAGAGCTGGGTCGGAAGAATGCCAAACCTCGAGAAGAGACGCACGAGGAATTCTAAACTCTCGCCACTTGGCAACGCAAAGTGCCGCATGTGAAAGCCGTCAAAGGACACCGCATTCCTGGCATGATGCCTCTTGTTCAGCTTTCGGAGGTACTCACCACTAATCGGGGCCAAGGGCACAGACACCCTCACCCTGCAACGAGGGGGGGGGGGGGGGGGGCCCGACGGACCTGCCAGAGGCCCGAAAACCTGTAAGCTTCCAGGTCCAATATGTGCTGGGGTCGGACACCACCTGACCTTCCGCCGAGAGAGTAGTGGTAGGGCGCCATACCAGGGAGTCTGTGAGGGAGGAGTGAGTATTCTTTGTGCCCTGATTGAATCTATCGGCCAACCAGGAATACCAACCGTTCCTCGCAACCTGCTGGTATTGTTTAATACACGCCCCGAGAAGGTCACGCTGCTTGCCATGCAAAACCGAGGTCGCAGAGAGCAGCGCCTCCCCCTCTCGCAAAAGGGCAGTTTCAGGGACAGCACCAACGACGTCGTCGTCGCGACCCCCTGGATCATCGCAGGGGTCGTGGCTCGCAGTCCAGCAAACTCACCGCTCCCGAAACCTGCGCCCCGTCCAAGCAAGGCAAATCACAAGAAACAACTGGTGGATCGGGAGCTCCCGGAACGCCTGAGCAACGCCTGGAATGCCTGGGGCGCCAGGGAACGGCGGGGACACTTGGAAGCGTTTGGAAAAGGCCTGGGGAACGCGTGGGAGCGCCTAGGACATAGGTTTGCACGGGATTGTACTTCTGAATCGGGATCGCGTGAGTTGCGCCTGTGCGCGCCGCGTGGCATGGGTTGCAAGGGGCTCTGGCCGCGAATGCAAAAAGCCATATGTTCTGCCAGGAAACAAGGGGTGGACATCAGGGAGCGCGGAAAGTGTTTTAGGATTTGCATGATAAAGCCTCTTACAGAAGTCAAAATCCACTCCCATAATAACCACCCCGACACGCGAAGTCGTTCAGTAAACGCGCCCAGAGAGGGAATCGAACAGGGCAGGGCTGTTTAGTAAACGTCCAGGGCCGTTTGGTAAACGCCAATTGTCCGGTCTGGGTGGTTATTCCTCCCTTGATCTCAGTTCTTGGGATGTAGCGGCGCTCAGGCGGACGCCGCCTTTTTGCAAAGAAGCCGCCCTCCGTCCGTGAAGCTAGAGTGCAAACTGTAAAGACGAATGGGCATGGCGGCAAGGCGAGAGTGCCACTTTGAGAACGAACCCTGACATCCCTGAAATGGTTGCAAGCTTGTGAAAAAAAAACTCGCGCGGCGCTGAGTTTGTCTATTTTTCAGGGGCGTCCTAGAGGGGTGCGTTTCAGAGGGGGGTTCTCAAATCATGGCCCGAGGCACGTGCGCGGCCCATGGGGGGGGGGGGGCAGGCAGCACATTGCACTGAGAGGCGGGGACCATGAGATCTGGGAGACATCATGGCCCCCGCAAGCCCGTAGTCATCACGCGCCTCTTATGGCCACCCCCGAGAGGAGTGCCCGAGGCCCACCGGGATCCTCCACTGGTGCCGCAGGCTGCGGCTGCGCGGGCGGCGGGGCCGCGGCGGGCTCTGGGAAGTCCCCCGAGTTCCTGCCGCGGGCAGCGGCGGGCACCACCGGGACGCTGGCGGTCGCCGCTGCGGCCGTCAGCGTGCTGGTGGCCCTCTGGCGGCGCGCGCACGGGGCGGGGCGAGGATGGCTCAGAGGAGGCAAAAGTACCCAAACCTCTACCTTTTCGCCTGTTCTCCTCTTCGTGGGCCTCCTGTGAGGCCCTCGTCGCCACCGCAGGATTCGCCTCGAAGTCCTGGTCAGAACGCACCCGGGAGAGGTCCGAGGAGTAGCGGCATCGGTACCTCTTGGTGTCCCCAGTGGCTAGGTGCAGAAAGAGGGGCAACGACAAAGGGGGGATCAGCTCAAGGGGGAAACGTCGGCCCGAAACCGACGACGCATCGCCGACTGATCGGCGGTCGCCGCTGCGGCCGTCCGCGTGCTGGAGACCGTATTGTTTGAATCGGCAATAACCCAGGTTATCCGGAAGGGGGGGTGGGGAGGAGGGGGCCGGCCGATAACCTAACCTTCGCGCTTTGGGCAACCCTGCATATACCCGCGCCCCCCCACACCCTGGACCTGCACAACCGACAAGGGTAGGTTATCCTGTGGGGGGGGGAGGGGGGGCTAGCCCGATAACCCGGGTTATCGCCGGACCCTACTAAAACAATCTCCTGGTGGCCATCTGGCGGCGCGCGCACGAGGCAGGATTGGCCAGCATCGAGTCGGACAGCCGGATTGATCGGACCGCATCGGCACGGAGTCGAGATCGGGTCGGATCGGCCGCGCCAGGATGAACAACAGCGCCATGCAAGCATCCCGGCGCATCGGGGCGCCTGAACATGGGAATCGAATCGGGTCGGACCGGCAGGAATCGATATCGAATCGGATCGATCGGACCGAAATGGAGCCGACGGGGTACGGCGGAAAAAAAACTTCAGAAGCAGAATCTCAGGAAGCCATGAAGAACCCCCCCTGGGTTAATTATCGTTAGCACCGAAACGAAAATAAATAATTCGCGGGGGCGGATTGATTCGAGCAGCACCGCACCAAAACGCAAACATCGATCATTTGTCCCTGTCCCTCTGTCACTATTGTCATCCTCATCAGTTACGGATGTCAGTCGAGGGTGCTATAATCAGTCTGATAGAGCTGAACTTATTCCTCCTCTCTTCAGGGTGACAGGATAACACCCCCGGATGCGTTATCGTTTCACCCGGAGTGGGGGTTCTTAATAGCTTCCTGAGGTTAGATAAGCAACCACACGCGAGACCACAGGGAGGGAGTCCATCGCCGCTCGGGAAAATTCGCGCGGACCTCCAACAGTTCGGTCTGCGCCGCTCCTCCTGGCTCGAGCGGTGGCCTTCCAGAAACCCAGGGGGCTTCTCAGAGGCCCCCTCTCCGCCCGAAACGCCTCACAAGAAGATCCCGACCCCCTTCTGAAGAAGCGCCCCACCTTCCTACAGTGAGACTGGATCATACACGTCGGCGAGAAGAAGTGGGCAGAAACATGAAGTAGAAAGGCGCTCAAAGTAGATTGTGCTTCCGCCCGCCCCCCGAGGACCAGGGAAGAGGGAAGACCACTCCATTCTTGAAAGAAGATTGGAACTTGGGCGGCCAAAAATACCCACTTTCAACGACCGACGGGTAAGGATGCGCTGTCAAGGTATAGGGCCCTTCCCCGCCCAAATCGCAGCCGAAATTGGAAGCCCATGGCCAATGGCCAGGGCCTGGGATGGGCCGAGAGGTAAGGATGCAAAGGTACCCTTGAAAGCTACTCCTCCTTATGGCATTGTCCGGCAATAGATAGACGGTCATTCACTCGCCCGACCCCCTCGCGCGCGCCGCCGGCCTCTTCAGCATCTGCGCGATGGCACTGGAGTCGGTTCCCCGGCGGCTGTCGGGCTCCTCGAGGCCTCCCAGATGGGGCCCGAGCAGCTGGGGTCGGAGGGTCGCATCTGTGATACATCGGCGCCGTCGGCGCGGAGGAACTTGTGCTCCTCCCCGAGCCGCACCGGCGACGCGTGGGCGATGCAGCGCGATCCTCCGACCCCGTCTACTCGAGCCCGTCTGGGAGGCCGAGAGCTTTAGGTCGGCCATGTTCCCCTACAGGGGGGGGTGGATGAAAAACTCAGAAAATACCCTTACAAAATATTGCACATAATCAAAACATGTTTAAAACAAAAACATGTCCCTGGAGTATTGTTTGACTAGTTTTGAATATTCCTCCTGTAGAGGGACACGTCCGACTTAACGAGAGCTCTGCGGCCTCGGCCGGGGCCGCCGGCGGGCTGGCGCTGGGCGCCGTCTGCCACACCAGCGCCTGGCCGAGGGGCTGCGGCGCCGCGGCGGGCAGCGGCGGCGCCGCGGCAGGCGGCGGCGGCGCCGCGCCAGGCAGGGCCGCCTGGTTCGGCGGGGTCACCATGCTGGGCAGCGTCACCTCTGCACCGCCAGGGCGCGCGTCCACGCCCACGCGAGGAGGAGGAGGAGGAGGAGGAGGAGGAGGAGGAGGAGGAGGAGGAGGAGGAGGAGCAGGAGCAGGAGGGAGGAGGAGAAGGAATTCGCTTGAATTCACTGGTAACGGTATCCACGCTGTGAGACGGTGAGGAGGAGAGGGCAGTGGTGGAGGAGGAGGAGGAGGAGGAGGAGGCGCCGTGCCCCGTGGGTCCCTGGGCAGCGGGTGGGCGCGGGTACCTCCGCCCCACCCCGCGGGGGGACACGGGCGGGGGCGGGGGCACCCGCAGAGCACCGCTCCTCGGGGAGCCCCCGCGCACGCGGCGGGGGGCGTGAACTCGCTCTGGCGGTGGGTCGCCGCGCTCGGCTGCGCGGGCACGGCCGCGCCGGGCGCGGCGGCTCTGGCCTGGCGCTCTGGGTCCATCTCCTCCAGGGCGCTCCGCTTGAGCTTCTCCGCGAGGAGACTGCTGTACGAGCGCGGCTGGCCTCGGGAGGGCGCCAACTGCTCGAGTAGGAGATTGACTACAGAATTGAGTTACCCCGAACTTCACTTCCCCCATCGAATCTACGACCAAGACGTAGAACTGTTGGAAATCGATGGGGGATTCTAAGTCTGTTCCGTAGATTCGACGAGAAAACTGATTTGGAGGTACATCAATTCTGTAACCGATCCCCTACTCGAACCAGATGGCACCCACACCGGTCCCGGCCAGGCTCACCCTGGGCCGAGCATGCACCCTCGTGGCTTGCGTGCAGGATGGCATGTACATCGATCCTGGGCCTACACGCATGCAATAGGACATGAGACCCTCCGTCGGCACAAGCACACAGAACATCCAAGAGTACCCTCCCGAGGATGCCCAAGAGCATCCAAGCAACAAGGACAGTAAGGTACCCTCCCCCAACCGACCTCGATCTCACACCTCGGTCCGACAGTACGCCCTCCTGGCTTGTGCAGGAAGGCGTGCACACCGATCATGGGCACAGGAGCGGTCGGGGCAGGATCGCTGCAGGTCTCATGGCTGGTGCCCTCCGACGGCCTGGCTCTCTCGCGACGTCGACGGCGGCGAGCACGTGCGGGGTGTTCGTGGCGCTGGCAGCCCGCATGGCGGCTTCCACGACCGGGTCGTGACTCAGGCGCGGCTCGGCGAGAGGAACGATCCCCGCTGGCGGAACCACGTTGACCTTCCCTGGAGCGTCCGGCTGGTCGACGATGCGCTGAGAGTCCTTCGGCAGCCACTCGTCGTGAAAAGTGTCGAAGCCGTCGTAGTGGACCTTCACCCTGTCACCCTGGATCTCGACGATCGTGCACAACCGCTCCACCTGCTTCGGGCTCATAACCGTGAGTTTCGCATCGACGATGAAGTCGATGAGCTCCCTTGCCGCGGCCCTCTCCTCAGAGCGCAGCCCAGAGCACATCGCGACCGAGTCTCCCTCCACCCCTCCCCACGCAGGATAAGTTCGATCCTCGCTAGACATGAGACCGACGCCCCCAACAAAAGTTAGACCCGATCAGCGCCGCGCCCAAGTGCCCAGAAGGACACAAGACGAGAGCGCAATACGGACTGGCCAGACGCACCACCTGTTCCACTCTAAAGATCTCTCTTCTCTCCTGCCGACCCCAATCATCCCCGTACGGCACGTTCGTGTCGTGACGATCCGGGCGCTGGCTTCTTCTGACACCGCGTGGATCGTTGAAAACCTTGGAGCGAGCGTCGGCTCTTCGATTGCCGGATCGTTCCATCTTAGCCAAATCTGGTCCACTGGCGGCGTTCAATCTCGAATGCCCGCGGCGGGGTCGCCGCTGTGTCGACGCTACGCGAATCTGCCGTACCCGACATAGGAAGGCCGCTGGGGGCATCCAACTGCCACGCCCTCTCGAAAGGAACGCGATCCCCTCCGACAAAAATTGGATGCCCGAATGAACCGGGAAAACTGCGGTCCGGGGAACTCCACTCTTGGGCCCCCGAAACACGAGCCCGTAGCTACCCTCACGATGCTCCCATCGTACTTTAGGGAACACATCCCATCAATAATTTCGAGCACCCAGGGAAGTATCGAAACAGTCTCGAACGAGTGTAGCCTCCCAGGGCCCGACACGTGAAAACCTTCAAGCTTCGGTACGTGATCGAAATTGTTTCTGGTGATCGAGGCTAAGGTCGGAGCTCCGATGAGTCGGAGCTCTGCAAAGGGGCCACTCTTCGCAGGCCGCAGCGCGAGTGACCTCTCTTGTGGCGCACCCACTCCGCCGCCGCCCTCCAGGGATCTAAGGACACAGGTCACTCCAGACTCGGGTCGTCAGGGCTTTGCAGGATCCCGCAGGATCCTGCACCCAAGCCCGGGCAAGTGCAACCCTGGCACTGCAGGATCCTGCAAGGTCCAGAGATCTGACTGGCCCGCCCCTGGAACCTCGACTCTCGACCACTTCCTGGGGACAGGCTTTGCATACGAAGCCGCTACTTGACGGCCCCGAGGCCCGGGAAGGGCCCCGAGGGGCCTGGAACTATGAGACAGAAAACCATCCCGGTTTTCTCTGGACGCTGGGCGTCTTGGTCTTGAGGCGCCTCGGGGCAACCTGACCCCCGCCTCTTGAGCCCCGAGCCCAAAGAGCCGCCGCCTCTCTGGCGCCTCAAGACTCGACCAGCGCGTCCCACTACTCGCAAAGCAGCTACTTGCAAATGGGCAAAACCCGCCTTGGGGGTTTCACGCCCCCATCGGGCAATACGTGTTTTGTCCAGACGTTTGCGAGTAGGCACTGGTCGGAAGAAGTAGGTAGAAACATGAAGTAGGAAGGCGGATCAAGTAGATTGGGTTCGGGCCCGCCCAAAGAATAAAGAACAACAGCAAAACCAGATCGACTCTTGAAGCAGGGAAGGGCGCTTGAAGTAGATTGGGTTCTGGAAATCTAGAAATGCTTCCTTTCAATGACCGCTAGGTACTCCGAGCTTCTTTACAAGACTGGGGGGGTATCCCCCCGACGGGGGTCAACCTTGCCTCGTCGTCACGCCGCGACGGGGATCGGACCGCCTTCAGCGCGCGGTGATTGCCCGCGGCGGGGGTCGATGTGGGGCTGTCGGTGGGGGTGGCGCCCACCCGACGCTTATGAAGAAACTTTGACTAGGCACTTTGCGAGTAGTGGAGCGCGCTCGGTGGCCAAACGAATCCGAGGAGTGCGGCGATGCGCCCCGCCGGCAGAGCAGCGTGGCCAGAGTGCTCGGCAGGCTCTCGCGTCGCGGCGAAAGGGCCTGGCCTTCTGCCACCGCGCGCGCGCGCCGCGGGGCTCCCTGGGGCGCCGGGAGCGGCCCGCTTTCAAAATGTGGTTCCGGCCTGAGCTTGCGGGGGGGGTCGGGCGCGCGGGGGGCGGGTGGAAGCGTCGCCGGCGCCCCGCGCCCCCGGGGGGCTCCATGTAAGATTCCCCAGGCTGTGCCAAGCGCGCGCGCATTACTTGCCCGCGCGCTCGCATTCGCGCAAGCGCATCCTAAGAAACTACGATTTGGATCGGAACCGGGCGACAACGGGCACGGGGCGCCTGTCAAGGCTGCTTCTGGGAGCGATTGCTGCTGGCTCGACGCGCGCGATCTGCATGTAACGACTTTTGGAGGACGGGCGCTGCGCCGTCCAATCCAACGCGGGAATGGCGCGGTCCGGGGCGCGCGGCCGTCGCGGCACACGGCGGTCGACGTGACCGCATGGGGCGCGCGATCGGCCGCGCGGCATTTGCGGGCCATTCGGCCGACGCTGCCGGGTCGCCCTCAAACAGCCCGCCAGGAATACGCAAATGCGCAATGCGCCAGCGCGCCGCCAGGATATCGCCCTGAAAACAACCTGTTCACCCTGAACGCCGACTGCGCGCCTCGCTGAACCAGCGAAGTCGCGCGGCGCGCCCGCGCCGCGGACCCGCCGCAATGAACTCGCGGGAAAAAAACCTCTCTCCATGGGTTCTGGCACCGATTCTGGCCTACTTCCCCGTTCTGGCCGATTCTGGTTCCATCGCCGATTCCTCCTTTGATTCCGTATTGATTCCGTACTGATTCTTTTGATTCCGCTAGAATCAGGGGTCGCAGTTGTGCCGATTCTGTTTTGATTCTGTACTGATTCCGTACTGATTCCTTTGATTCCCCTGTGCCCCGGGGACCATCAGGCCGCGGCCCGAGCTCCCGCCTCGGCGGCATGGTTTTTCCAGGAGCGCGGAAGAGTTTTGAAGGGGGAGGGGGGCGGGGGGGGGGCGGGGCGATTTTTGGGGCGCATCGGGCGGCCGAACCGCAGATTTCCGGGCCCAGTGCGCACGCCCAACATGGCAGGCGCGGGCGCGCGAGCGAGTTCTCGACCGTCGGCGCATCTGTAAGTTCATGCCCCGCCCCGCGCGCGGGAATGGAAACTTGGGCTGCGGCTTCCCATTGAACGCGCGGCCGTCGCCCCCCATGCTGCTCAGCGCGCAAGGCGCGCGAGCAGCATGGGGGGCTTTGCGTTGTCGCATGAGAAGTGCGCGGAACCGAACCGAACGGTCGGCGGCGCCCGCTCCTGCGCCGCGCGCGAGGCCATCGCGTCAGCGCGGGGGGCTACAAGGGCCTGGGCCGTCGCCCTGGGGCGCGGGCACAGCGCGAGGCCCGCGCGGGTCTCTCGCGCCGAACATGCGCAACAAGGTCGGCCCGCCCGCCGGCTGGCGCCCGCGGGCGACGCGACGCCGGCGCCGACTGCGAGGCCGACTGGGCCCGGAGGATTCCTGAGAGTCCAGGGAAGGGGCAGCGGGCCGCGATGGAATCGGCGCGGTCGTTGGCGCCCCCCCCGCGCCCGCCCCCCCCTGCAAGCCGACTCCTCCTAGCCTGAACGCCGCGCACGCGACCTTCAAACATTGCAAGAGCATCACGAATTGAGAGCGGCTTCTATTTCAAAGTTTGGATATCGCCTGAACGCCGCGCACATTCGTTTTTGGTTTTAGATGGAAGAGCTTCACGGATTCCCATGATCACCGTGTCAGAAATCGTGTTTAGGATGGGTTCAGGACTATGAGGGCGCAACAATTACGTTGATTCGCGGTGTTGAACTCCCAGGAATGGCGTCCTGGCACGACTCAGGATCGTCAAGACGCAATTATTAGCCTGACCCGTGGCGTTGGACTCCCGAGAACAATGTTCTGGCATGCGTCAGGGTCTTCAAGCGGTCGGCTATTTTCCATTAGGGACAATTCTCTACGGACAGAACCGTTGCATGCGCCTATGAGAAGGGAGCTTGGAGGGAGGGTTTATTCCAACATCGTTGATGACTCTCGGGCTTACACTGGTCCTCCTCCTCCCCCTCCTCCACCTGAATGCCAGGTTGGGAGACCCAACCAGATACTGCGACTTCGTCGTGGCATACGTCCAACCCTGTTGCATCGCATTGGCGACAGCGCCAAAGGTAGGACATGGCCGCGTGAACGGCGAGGGAACCCCTCAAGAGTACAGGGTGGAACCTTTGTTGTCTCGATGTCGGATGGCGGGCCGCGGCGCGACCAAGTCAAATTGGCGGCCGGTCGCTTGGGCCCGGCCGCGGACAATTGATCGATGCCTCTCGCCAGTGCCCTTCCTCCTTCAGAACCTCGGGGAGAAGACGAAGCGCGAGTCCGCTACCGGACTTACTCAGCACAGAGGAAAGGCAGTATCCAGCGGCCTCGACCATAGCAAGTTACCTCGCAACTTATTACTCCTCGGGCGGCTCCGATGGTTTCGTCTGGCCAGCCCTGAAGGGAGCGCGTCGCTTCAACTCGCGCTTGAAGGATTGCGTTCCCCTCGTAGCTTTACAGAGCATATAATTGTCAATGCCCCCCTTGGCGCGTCTATCTGCAGTCGTGTGGCGGCGTCGCGCGACTGCGCGCCATGTGCAATACCGCGCCCTATCACTTGCCGCATCCAACGGCTGCGACCCAAAAGGGCGCATGCAGTCTGTTTCCCAAGTCTTTGGTTTGGCAGGGACTTGAAGACATATTCAGCGTCAATGGTCAGGGTGACCTTAATGCTGGGGCCACCCATCTCAATAATGTCCTTCAATCGAATGGGCGCCAGCGGCCCTGCGGGGAGTGCGCGCATCGCAACGACGGGACATCAGCTGGCGGCGCTGCTGGCGTCTCCGCTGCGCAGCTGAAGCGGGCCAGCAAGCGCTGCGGCTTGCAGTGCGCGTCGCCTAGATGGACTACACGCTTACTAGAAGGTGCGTGTCCACGCCTTAGCAGGCATGCCCCGCGAATGCCATGGCCTCTGACTTCGCCATCGGCATCGCCGTTCAGGCGGCAGTAATCAGAATCACTATTCAGATATACCTCGCCCGTTGGTGTCACCGCTTTAAACATCTTCTCGTCTGAGGGCAGGCCTGCAATTCCCAGAAAATCGCGCCATGCGTCGCGCTTGCATGTTGGTCGG